TACTTGTCAACTTTTGCTATTTTGACAATTGCTCTGGTTTCTTAGGTTGCGCACTTAACCTTCATTAAGAAATTATATTGTGAATCACTACCAAAGTGAAATTATCCCTTTTCCTCACCACAGACTGGCTGCAGACCAAGTCCTCCATATTGAGGCATTGGGTCAAGTACAATAAGAGTGGGATAAACTATTTGTTCTTAATAAAATGAATTCAACTCAACTCAGTAATGTAGCCTGGAAATAAATGAATACTTTTTTGTTATTATATTGTACTAAAAGAGATGGAAGTGATTTCATTTTCACAAGGGACTCAGATTTGACTTAGCTCTGGTGGATCAGAGGAGGTTCCTGGCTCCTGTGGGAGCCAGCAGATGTACTAGTTGTTCTTATTAACATTCAGTGATGACATAATTGAATACAGTCTATTTGACAATAAATGGGGATAAAGAAAGGTTAGCAAAAATTGATGGATGGAGGGAAAAAAAAAAAGTGGTAAAGCTCTACATTCACAGTTTGGAGCTATATAGTTGTTAGGAGAAAAAAAAAAAAAAAAAAGAAAAAAGCTTCTTTCTCTCATTCCTACATTGTATGAATGAGCCTGCTTTTTTCTTAGCAGGCTCTTATACTCTATACTATGAGAGCATCTCACTCAAATGTTTTCTCGGTCTGCTACTGATACTAGTAGTCTATAGACCAGAATTACATTATTGTAGACCCATGCAGTAGCTAAGAACTTTTCCTCATTCTGCATAGACATCCCTTACAGAAATTAAAGGGCTTTCTGCATAAAACTGGACAAGAGCTTATACCTTCAGACACTGAACCAGATTCTGGTCTTGACTATTCCATTATAAGATGTAAATAGTTGCAGCTTCTCTGCATTTGGATATAAACGAACTTGGTCACTGACAACTGGAAACAGCCTAACAAGCTTATCAGGTATCACCTGGAAAACATTGCAATCACGTCTATTTTCCATAAGTCATGTTTTACCAAAAATATATATATTGTTTACTTCTGCATATGCTAATGCCAAAAATAATTTCATGAACGGTTTGAATGATGTTTCTAGTTCTTTACTGACTGCCAGCTGTTGGAAGGCTGTTGTTCCAACACAGGCAAAAACCAGTATAAGCTGACAGACTTGTCCTGCTTAATTTAGCTAGGCAAGTAGGTGCATATGCTGAAGTACTGCACAGGAGGCCATCTCGTGTCGATGCATGTTCTGACCATCTGCATGTATTATTGCCAATGATACAGAAACATTAATTACCCTTTCACCTTTCTGGTCAGTGATCAGTAATTTTCTCATGGAGACTTCACATCTCCTATACAACTGTTGGCAATAGCCTCCAAGCATTATCAGGCTAACAGGACTCGATTTGACTTCTTCAGCTGCAGGCCTGCGTGAGTCACCAACATCTGTCTGTAAACAAACTGCCTGGCAAAGTTCTTATTCATATGTTTTAATGCATCAGAGTAATACCATTTGAGTTAACACTGCTATAACATACACAGACTGCTTGAATTGCTACAAAGGCTGAAGGCTGTCCAGTGACACCTTGCTTTGTTTCCAAAAGATGCTTAGGAAAAGACACTCATGATTTAAAGAGAAGAATGATTGCCAAAAAAGAAAAGCACTGAAAGACTGGAAAGTTTCTGTTGTCCATGCTGACTCCTGTACCTATACCTACATTTTGACATCATGATATTTTTACACTAGTCAGACCTGTCTGCTTACTAAGAGTATTTAACACTTGAAAAGCACACATGAACTCAGTTTGTAGGAAGTCACAGAGAACACCTAGACAGAAGTGCTATTTTATATTTCTGTTAACTGATGTGGCCTTACTAACGTCTGTAGCAGTTTGTTGCACCAACAACTTGCCATTCCAAGAGGAGGAAAAAAACACTGCTTTGGAACAGAGAGAGCCATGTCAGATAGCAAGGTCAGCAGCCCAGGAACTGTAACCTCCCCCAGGACCCTGTCCTGTATTATGCTCCTAAGCAAAGTGGGTAGGAAGGCTGAAGATAACATCCATGACAATCTCAAACAGAAACTAAAAAAAAAAAAAAAAAAAAAAAAAAAAAAAAAAAAAAAAGTAAAATACAGCTTCAAACCAGAAAACTAGTCCCCAAAATGACAATAGCTACAGCCAGGCATAACCATGACAAAGCTGAAAGAAGGACCAGCTTCCAGGCCTGATCTTAAATGGAGCTCCTGCACCCACGGCAGAGGTGTGGATGGCCCCAGCTGAGGCTGGTGAGGGTTGTTAATACATATGAGTGTACTCAGAGCCCTGACAGCATTTTGGAGCCCATACTGACAGACTGTTGACACATGGATAGAACTGGTTAGCAGACGTGTAAGAGAAAGGATAGCAAAAAGTTTACTTGATGTTTTCCTGGTTTTCACTTTACTACTGTATTATTGATTTTTTTTTCCCGCTTAGTTTTACCAGTTCAAGATCAAAACCTGATTAGGATACTCAAAATACATCCACTCTTTTTTCTTGTTTTAATCTCATTTTTCTTAATTCTGACATTACGGAAGCTACCAAGACTGTCACATTTTTCTATATCTATATATTCTTAAAAATAGATTATTTGTAGAACACTTTTACTGTGTTTTAATCTGAGATATAAAACTTTTTCTGCAATTTTTCCAGATACCCTCGATATCTCTTCATAATCCTAACATATTCCTGACATCTTTATATTAGAAACAGTAAGAAAATATGGTACAGGCTTATCTCTGCAGAAATTCCCCAGCTACATTTGTGGTCTAAGCAGTACAGACTAAAGTCTTAATCAAAGAAAATTTCAGAAAAAAAAATGTTGGAAAGAAAAGCACCGGTAACTGACATCCATTTCACACTGCTTAAGATGCCTTCATCTGTTCTTGCATAGGGAGGGTAGGTGAAGAGCAAGATAGATAAAAGTAGCTTGGACTATATTTGAACCATTTCTTTCAGCTGTTTTTGTTTGCACTATTACAAAGCCCTGGCAGGCAAGGAAAATATTCTTAGAATAGCAGATTTCTTTCTTTGTTCTGCTTCTGTTCCAAAACCATACAATTGTATTTGAACAGCTGGCCAGTCATGCAACCATCAAACGTGACAATGACATACGACCTCAGTGTTCCTTGTAGAGGACTGAAGTTTCAAAGCCTAAGCATACCCTCGGACATACTCATCTTCATCCTGGAGGTACATACTCAGATTTAAATCATACTTTTTTTTTTTTTAATTGAGCTTTCTACTGACAATGAAAAACAAACAAGTGCTCATTACAACAAAATAGGAAAAACTGGAACTGCTTTGCAGAAAAGAATTTCCTGATGCTATTGCTAGGACAAGAACCAGAGGAGCTCAGCCTGGCCATATGCCATTACTCTGCTAGATATACTTGTAGCACTGAAATGGTCTTTTGCTTTTTGTGCAAATGTGTAATGAAGTTCAGAACCAAATCTTGATGAAAATCCGTATCTTCTTCTATTTCCTCATCTACTTTGTGTAACTTTGTATCCAGGGATATACATAACCTAAGTCCAAAATCCCTAGCTACAATTTTGGGGCCAACTATGTTGTTCTCCCATGTCATGTGCCTCAGGACCTAAAAAGTGAAGTTAGAATTTATCTCTACAATTTTCATAAAATCCATCTTTTCTTTTAGAGAACTCTAAGATGATGTCAAGGCATCAAAGCTCTATTTTGGAGAGTGCAACTGATACTATTTAGACTGTAAGAGTAGGAGTTCATCTGCCTGTATACAATAAAACTGTAAAGGTCAAAGAGATGCTGAGGGCATAAGAGGAACATTCAAGTAACAGCCTGAGATCATGGATGAGCCATTGCAGACTGAAAGTACAGCTTACTTCCTGACAGCACCACAGTTGTAGTAGAACAGCTCACACTTAGACTGGCACAGTGACTATTGCTTCACTAGAAACCACTCTGGAAGTAAGCAGCAACAGAATATGAGATGCTTCCACTGTGATCGTGCAGCATGTAATGACTTTTGGCACCTGTGGGACTTGGCAGCAACTTAGAAGTGTCACTTTGCATAGCTAGGTAGCCACCTAAACATAACACAGACTATAGGCCTAAGACATAGATGGGGAAAATAAAAATAAATAAATAAATAAATAAATAAATAAAATTTAAACATAATCAAAATGCTTCCTGACTGTTTAGATGGTGTATGTTTGGGCAAAGGCTGTTCCTCTAGGCAGGAAATAGGAAATAACACCAACCTAAGCTAAACTCTTAGGGAAAGTTTCTTGCAACTGCTGCAACAAGCACTATAATTTACAGTTATATGAATATTCAGAGATTCTAATGCTCATAGTCATGCAGATTTGTACAGCACTTTTTCTCTGAAATGTAAGTGAAAATGAAAATGATAAAATTATTAGCTATTGCAGAAAAATGGTAACTATCACATGACAGGTGCTGAAAAATCTTTCTTATTGTACAATGACATTTTTAAAAATGTAATTAGCATATATTTTTGCAGGCTGCTTCTCATGTTTGCCTTGATGACATTCCTCTCCCTCCTTTTAACACTCTATTTCAGCTTTCATATGAAACCCTGTAGCACTGGGATGCCTAACAGCCACTGCAGCTGAAACTAAAAGCTAGAATCGCCCACAAGCAAACAAGCAGAGGGTACTAGCTTGTTTCCATCAGCTGAGCAAACTGCAAAAAACAGACAGAACAGGCAGAGCGCAGAGAGGGCGGCGTGCCGGCGCGCGAGCTTCACTGCAGCTGCGATGCATCTGCCTCAATCTGGGATTTTGCTACTCCCGACCTTTTAGCCTGTTCGATAGCACCGAGCTGCTGTGGGCATCCCAACAGCTCCTTCCCCGCCCTCCCCGAGCGGCATCATTGGGCTGATGAGAGGCAGCGAAGCATGTGTGAAACATAAACAAATAAATAAATAAATAAATAAAAATAATAATTTAAAAAAATTAGATCCGTGGATTATCGAAGCGGTGGCACGGGGGGGTGCAGCCGTAGCCCTTTAAGCTGCCCACCCTCTCCGGCGGCAGCTGGCTGCTATTTATACGCGGCGGCTGCGGGGCGGGCCCGGGAGCGGCGACAGCGGCGGGGAGGCCCGGGAGCAGGGAGGCCCGGGTGGAGGCTGCCATGGCCCTGTCCTCTACACCGGTGGGAGGGAGCCGCTCCGCCGGCCGCAGGGCTGCCTCCTCTCCGCTGAGCTCTCCTCTGAGCCCGACGGCGCTCAACCGGCTGCAGGAGAAGGAGGAGCTGCAGCAGCTCAATGACCGCCTGGCCGTCTACATCGAGCGGGTGCGGGCGCTGGAGGCCGACAAATCGGTGCTGCAGCAGAGGCTGGCCGAGCAGGAGGAGAGCGGCGACCGGGAGCTGAACTGCCTGCGGTTCCGCTACGAAGCGGAGTTGGCCGATGCCCGCCGGGTGCTGCAAGATACCGCCATCGAGCGGGCCGCGCTGCAGGTGGAGCTGGGCAAGATCGGCCAGGAGCACCGGCAGCTGCACAGCAGGTCGGTGTCCGGCCGTCCCGCCGCTCCTGCCCGGCCCCGAGCGGGCCCTGCAGTGTGGGGGACACCCCCAGGGCTGCCTTCGTGCCTGGGGCTCTCCCGTGGGGTGAGGAGAAGGTGCTGCTGCTTGCCAGGACCCGTGCTTCTGAGAGGGAGGGTTCAGTGCCACCAGAGTGGCTGGGTCTTGGTGGTGGTGAGACTCTGGAGGTGTGGATTGCATAGGTATGGAGAAACCCTAATGGATGTCCCTCAGGTGTGTGGTAGGGTTACTGCTGTGAGCATCTCCTGCTCCAGTACTGCTGGGCTGCTTCAGAGCTCCCTTGCAATGGGAATGGGGCTCCTGTAGAACTTGGGATCCTGATAGGCTTTCTGTGCATAGCCCTGCTTGAAAGCAGAGCTGACTGGGTTGGTACTACACCTGTGTTTAAGAAGCACTAAAGAAATGCTGGTAAGCATCTAGGAAGCTATAGTAGAAGGGGAGGTAAGTCACTGTATGGAGTCTGCTCACATCTTTTGAGCTTAATAGTTCAGGCACTACCTTCTCTCTGTGTTTCCCTCTAGATGGTCCTGTAAGCAGAGCAACTTACCTTGTATGCATAGAGATTGTCCTGGTTGCTCTTCCATTTTAATTTACACATTGCTGGGATGAACTGCCTGCTGCTTCAGACTTAACAGTCTCATCATGAGCACTGTATCCTGTGCCTGGAATCTCCTTGTCTAGCCTCCTCAGGCCTGAAACAAGGGGATGGTCCAACATAAGTGTAATCAAAATCTCTTGTAGGAGATGAGTAGTGAAGGGCAGGGAACAAACATTAAAACAGCAAACATTCTGTTTGGATATATACAAGTAACTAACTAGCATTGCTAGTTACTTTAATGCTCTATTGTAATGCAAACTCAATTACAAACTTGCATGTCCATGAACATACACAATCTTGCTATGAGCTGTTACCACAGCACCTGTAGGCACTAACTTTTCCTTGTAACACTTATAGTGTGAAACAAATACTGGTTTCTACAGGTTCAGTAGGACATATGTAGCTGTTCTACTTGGAAATAAAACAGTGTTTACTCCAAGCTTCTGTTTTCAGCTGCTTGGAAGTTATTGGTCTTGCCTCATTCATGCTGTGTTTTAGCTCATAAATTTGTTTCATAAATCTAACCAACCAGTGGATTGGACAGTGAGGAGAGAAGGCTAATGCCAGTTCTAATTTTTTTCTGCTGCTCTTTGTGTTTGTATAACACAGCAGCTTTGTTTATAAACCTTTAGGCTTGGTAGCTATGTAATTTTCTGGATAAATTTATTTCTTTAAAGTAACTAGGCTTTAAAGTGGTTAACTTCACAACCCATGAGGAAGGATGCATAGTACATCCTTTTTGGAAGGACTAGACTGAAGTTCTAATATTGAGTGCTTTTTATCTGGGCTGTCTAACTGCAAATGTCTCAGATGACTTGGAACAAACTACCTTGAGGGTATCATGTCCTTTATATATATCCTTTAAATAACCTGGAACTCTTATGGGATGGAATGTCACTAGATAACTTCCCAGCAGTGTTAACCGTTGACTCTTATTAATCACTAGTGGGGAGTTTAAAACCTTCAGCAACAATCAACTATGTTTGCATTCCTTTTTTTCTTAAACAGTTGTAATTGGAAATAGGCCAAAGATGCTTTGCAAATAAGTTGTGGTGAAGCATATCAGTTGGCTGAATTTAGAGACCGACAAGCAAGAACAGTAGAACTCCAGATAAAGATGAGAATAATACTTGCTTGTGAAGAAAGAAACTAACATGTTTTGCTACTGAACCTAGCAATCTAAAGCTAAGAGTGAATTTGTCAAGTACTGTTAGTGTCCTTAGCAAGCTGAAGTGATTTGAATGTACCTGGAGAACTTAAATAATTTTACTAAAAGCTCAGGTCAAGCATGTGATACCCTTATTTATAGGAAATGTGATAGTCAATACCTCTGTTATCACTTTGCATCAAAGCCAGACTTTGATAAATTTCTGTTATTAAAGATGAAATTACTCACTTCAGAGTTTCCTTGAAAAAAGTTGTCAAGAAAGAATATAGAAAACCTGAAGTTGCTTGTCAAGGCCTGTGTTAAGAAAGTGGACTATCAAACAATAGATATAAAAAACACTAATGGAGTTTCACTCTTGTGCATACTTCAATGATTGCAAAAAAGATTACAATAAGATGAAATAGTCAATACTGTCAGTAAGTAGTTATTAATGTACATTTAATTTATTAATGTACATGTTAATATTGTAACCAATACTTACAATAGTACAATTACCAGCAGATATCCCAGGTGGTGAACTTAATACCTAGAAATAGAAAACTAAATGTAAGGGAAAACTACAACACAATCTTTCTATTGTTACTACAATACTTTTTTCCCTAGACTCTCTCAGTAAAGAGTAAATACCCTCTACTAGCAAAGATTTGTTTATGCATCATGGTCACAAATTATAGAGACAATCAATAGATGTCTGAATAGCAGGCCTAGAAAAGGCCTCAAGCAAGAACATGATCTAGCCCCACACCCCCACCCTTCTCACCCCCCCAGCCTGTGTTAGAACCAACCATACCTGCATTACTTCTAGCAGATGTTTGTGTAACCCTTTTCAAATTCCAGATGATGGAGATTCCAGAATCTCCCTAGGCATTGTACTTCACTTCTGAACTACTATTAGCTTCCTCTCTAACATCTAACCCAAATATTTCTCCCTGCAATTTAAGCCTACAACTTCCTGCCTTTTCCACAACAGACATGGAAAACAGATTCCCTTCCTCTATGCAGCAGTCTTTACATACATAAAAGACTGTTATGTCTCCTGTCACTTTTCTCTTCTCTAGACTAAACAATTCTTACTTTTTTTCCAATATTTTCCTGTATTCTATGCTTTCTAGAGCCCATCACTCCTGTAGAATGACTTTGGACTCCCTCCAACTGGTCTGCTCAGTTATCAACTGGAAAACTCATTGTATGAATTATCACAACTTAGCCATTTGGCAGAACAAATTTTGCTAAAATAAAGTGTAATCTTTACTCCATAAAATGTCAAATATGAGTTTTGAGGAGGAACTCGGACTCTGGATGTAGGTCAGGTAACTGGGTCTAAGTTGCCTGGCGTAACTAAGTGCTAGTATTAACCTGGTATTAGAGCAGTCTGGGAAATTGTCACCTCTTTTTCGTCAAAGACAGGAACTCACTGTGGGCTCATTCCTTCCCTGCTATAGTGCCAGTTTGTTTTTTTTTTTTTTTTAAAAAAAAAAAAAAAAAAACAACAAACCTACCTTGGCCATTCAGAAGGTACCCAAAGGCTCTGTAATTGGGCACTTGCACAAGGTGGTAGGAAGGAAATGGCCTTCTGAAGGTAAAGCTGCTCTCACCCCGTAACTCTGCTGAGGTATGAAGGAGGGAAGAATTTGCAATTCTTCCTGAGGGAAAAGTTACTCTCACAAGGAGGTTCTCCGTGCTGTGAGAGCAGGGTGGTCTGTGTGGAGACTTGTGTGGTGGGAGCTGGGGACTGGAGGAGGCAGCGGGGCTGACAGGGCCTGCGTGCTAGGGCAGTGCTGTCAGGGGCCAGAACTCCTTCAGTGCTGTGAGGGGACCTTCCCCATCTGGTTTTCAGATTGGGAGAGCCCCCAGCAGCTGGAGCTTCTTTCTTCCTTCAGCTGCAGAGGAGGGAGTGCTCCACCATCATGTGTGACCGGCGTCACCTGCCACCCTGCCTCAGGAAAGCAGGCCTTGAGCTGCCCGCACCTGGCCTGCGTCCCCTCAGGTGCTGTGGTGGCCTCCCTGTGAGGCGTGTGCACCCCACAGGGAGCAGGCTGTGTGGCACTCAGCCACAGTAAGGGTGTACTGAGGTGGCAACAGGCACTCTGCCACGAAGCTGGTGGCTGCCTTTGCTACTGAAAGGAGGTCTTTGTGTCAAGAGTTTAGCAGTGGCACATCAGTGCAGTCCAGTGAATGCTGGCTTTGAATGTGACTAGTTTCTCCCTGTGGAGAAGGGACCTGTGCTGTCCCTCCCTTCCTGATGGTAGTGTTGTGGAAAATAGCTGGATTCTGCATGTAGTTCATACACAGTGAGCTGGAAAGTGGGTCAGAAATCTTTCTGGTTAAAGAAATGATACTTCTCTGAGGGTCTAGTTTGTTCCTTAGAGCCTACCCTGTGCTCTCAGCGTAACTCTTAACCTTTCTTCTGATTTAGTTCAACTGCAAACCCCCATAAAGGTAAACACTGAAAGCAAATTTTTCTCCCTCACCAGCTGTAACTTATGAGTGTAAACCTTTCACTTGCAGGAATTCAAAAAAAGAAGCTGACTTAAACCTGGCACAGGCTCGTGTGAGAGACCTTGATGCTCAGCTGAATGCAAAGGAAGCTGACTTAGCAACAGCTTTGAATCAGAACCGAAGTTTGGAAAATGACCTTCATGAATTAAAGGATCAAATAGTCACTGTAAGACTTGTTCCTGGAATTTCAACTTTGCTGTTGCTCCTGAAGCTTTTGCTTGTCTTTTTCCAAACTAGTTAGTTGAGATTTAAATGTAAAAGCAGGCAAAGGCTGTCACCTATGACAATTACAGGTGGACAAAAAGATTTCTTCAAACTTGCTGAAAGCAAATGCTGCTAATAGTTGGTCCATTAGAACTTCTGTCTGTTGTAAGTACTTTTAATTCTATTCCATGACCATAGACCGTAATGATGTTTTGTTTTGTTTTGTTTTTTTGTTCTGATGATGAACTAAGTTGAAATGTGAACTGCTGTAGCCTCTGTAGGAAAGAGAGGATTTGATGGACTCTGCTTTACTATGCTCAAATCTAGTTAAAACAAATAAGAACTGACTACTAGTGTGGGCTCTTTTGCTGTTTGAGTTGCTATTCTATCAGTGTATTACAACATAGTATCTTCATGCTTTACTATGATTATTGAGCTACTTTAGGGTCTTTAAGATGAAAACTAGAGGAACCTTGTATCGTTAAAGTGGCACACTCCAGTACTGGCAGCTTCTAAGAGTTTGTCAACATAGTAAAGCCAATGTTGGAGTTTTCTCCTTGTGAAGTATCAATCAAGTGATGTGGAAAGTAAGGGAGAAGTTTGGAGTACTTAGTAATGTGGAAGGGAGGAATGTGTATGGATGTTGCAATTGATTCATCAGAAACCTATTTTCTATACTTGAAATAAAACAGTGGTTAAAAACTAGCTGGTGGGACGAAGGGCTGCGTACCTTCTTGGAAATATGGTCTGTGTAATGATTAATAGGGTTCTTTGTTGCAAACATGCTGGATCCCACTGAAATAGACCTTAAACTGTCAAAATTCACTTAAGCAACACGTTCTGATAGCTGTAGGAATCAAGTTGAATAACCTGTAATAAGATGGTCATCTTAGTTTGGAGGACTGATCTCTTAATTTTGCTTATCCCTATGTCTTTCTCTTCTAGTTGAAGAAGTCACTGGAAGATGCCAAAAAGCATCTTCACAATGAAGTGTTGAGAAGGGTGGACCTGGAAAATCGCATGAAAACATTGCAGGAACAAATGACATTCCAGAAGCACCTTCACGAAGACGTATGTTTTAGCTTATTAACAAGAATATATATATTTTTAATTGTCCACCACCCCTGGATGCCCTTAAAAGCAATGTTAAGGTGTGTGTTATCCTTAAAAAGGTAACTAGCTTAGAGTCAACCTATGACAGTCCATCAGCCAATAAAATCTACCTAACTAGGAAGACTTCAAGAAAGTACACAGCCTTATGTTAACTGGCATAGTACCAATAGATATCTGGAATATGAGACCTTTCTCATGATGCACTTCTAAAGGTAACTACTAATGTACTACTTTGTGTAACTGAAAGTGCATATATTACAGTTGAACTTAATGATTGCAGGTGCTTACTAGAAGCCTAAAATAATTGATATCAAACCTCTCTTAATAAGCAACTTATGTTCCCTACTTCCTTAAAGGTTACCAAGCACCTTTGATAAGTGTTGCATTGTTGCATGAGAAGTCAGTACATGACATACAACTTAAAAAAAAAAAAAAAGTGAATGCAAGCCAACTTCCTTCTGGAAGGAATCTCAGTGTGTGGTTTAAGTGATAAAACTCCAATTTCTCTAACCCAGCTGCTGTTAGTTCTTTGAATAAAACAAGAATAGTTGAAGTAACATAGCTTAAAGAAGCTGAAGCATATGCACATGTGCTTCTAAGTTAAGAAAAGCAGATAAATTCATCTAGTTCAAAGAATTAGTCTCCAAATTAGATACAGATTACTGCATTTAGTAGTTTAAGCAATGTTGGCAATGAGGAAGCCAAGCAACCTAGCACAGCTAGTGAGGTGGAAGTACCTGACCTAATGGATGAATACTTTAGCTCTCAAGGGATGAATGTTTAAGCTCCATATAAGATGAATGCACTCAATGACAAAACTGCTTCAGTACTGAATGGTTTACTAAACTGGTACAGTACATCCACAGTCTCAAATTAAACTGTTTTAGCTTGCTTATTCTCTGAAAAACTTTCTCCTAGGAACTGAAGGAGACAAAAAGAGTCCATGAGACCAGGATTGCAGAAATAGAGTCTAGCCGTCAGAAAGACCTTGAGAGCAAGCTCTCGGATGCTCTGCAGGGGCTCAGAAAACAGCATGAAGAACAAATTCAAGGATACAAAGAAGAGTTGGAGCGAACGTTCAATGCAAAAGTAAGTCTTTTTTTAAAAAAAGCCAGTAAAAAAGTTCTCTGCACCTTAATATGATTACATTTACACTATCATAAGTAACTGATGGAGCCGAGCCCTTGCATTTAGTGCAGAGCTTCTAGGTGTAAGTTTTAAGAGTAATTAACTACAACTAGTGTGGAATTTCAAGTGTCAAATTTGACAGTAGAACTTAGTACTACTGACACTTAGTACAGTCTTTTTCCTCATATTAATCTTGCATTCAGGTAAAATTAATACTTTTCTTACACTGTTGTAGGTAAGATTCCAGGGATTTCTGGGTTGGTTGCAGTGTACAGTAATGGTATGTTAAGCTGTCTTTAATATTCAGTGCAGAATCACATGATCTACTCCTCTCAAGCAGACGTGTTTATTGCTTCATAGTTCTTTTGGGTTTCTCTATGCTCTGACTTCCTCCACATGCCAACTTAGTGAATTTACTTATATAGTTCTGTTCAGGTCTCCTATTGGAAAACCTTGTATTTCTTGTAGTAACATGACTATACTTTATTTCACTGCATGTTTTTTCCTTTCTTGGAAGATTGACTTCTTTCTTCAAGATTGACTTGCTCTAGAAGTAGCTCAGTGATGCAGGAACTGTTCAGTAACAGAACTTTTGGGGAAGAACAATAGTTCTCTAAGCATACCTAGTATCCTCTAGCTTCATGCTTTGACAAGCAGTTTCCAAGCATTCTTCATTGTTCTTCTGGAGAATCCATTTACTTCGTATCTATCCTTCAGTTACAAATGTATGAAGGCCTTGTATTTGATCAAGCACTTCTCCCTACCTGATTATTGCTGACTTCTTCTGACGTTCACGTCAAACTCATGTAAACCTCCCTGAAAAGCTTTCTGGCCTAGACCTTATTGGTATCTGCACACTTAGGTAAAACATAACTATTTCCAGAGGTAACAGCTGGAAATCGCTTGGTTTTCCATCCTTATTTAAAATACATGGTCATAAGCAACTCATTACTAACAGTGACTTATCCATAGGTGGAGAATGCCCAGCTTTCTGCAGCAAGAAATATTGACTTTGCCAACGCTGCTCGGGAGGAGCTAATGGAAACAAAGCTGAGAGTTGATACTCTGACATTGCAAGTTAATCAATATCAAAGCCAGGTACTATCTTCACTTGTATATCCTTAGAAATAATACCCAATTCAAAATGATGTGCTTCTCTAAATTTCAGTTAGAATTTAATTGATTTTTTTCTCTCTCAATTGTAGAATGCTGCTTTGGAGAAAAAAATAAGGGAGCTACAGGAGGCGCTGGATTATGATCGTGATGTACATCGAAGGCGTATGGCTGAAAAAGAGAAAGAAATGGCCAAAGCCCAGGAGCAGGTACAACAACAGTTGGAAGAATATGAGAATCTCTTAGATGTGAAACTGGCTCTAGATCTGGAAATAAATGCCTACCGAAAGATGCTGGAAGGAGAGGAACAGAGGTAGGCCATGACAAGATCCTCAGATGAGGACTTGCTCCACCCATGATCTCTGCACTAACAGTATATTCTTCAGAATGTGGAAGAGACAAGAAACAAATACTAAATGTGCAATTAGTACCACAATTCAGGTCTTTAAGTATAACTGGTAGATAAATAGTGTTTATATCCCACATCTACCATACAATGTACTAAGATGAAATAACATAAGAAACCCAACTGAAAGTTCAAAGGTCCATTAGACATCCTTCCCTAGAATCAAACTTCTTCAAAGCTTTGTGCTAAATCCCAGAGCTATATCAAAGAGTGTTTAAGCCTAAACCAGCTTTTCTTTCTCCCTTATCCATCAGGGTTAGGTGCTGTCATTTCTACTTGAGTATTGAATTTTGGAAAACCATTAGGGCACACATTTTATAGGGGTACAGTTGTTCTGTGTGGGCTTGTATCTGTAGGAATACATGTATTGGATATTCTAGTGAATGTTATCTGACTCCTTTCTAGGCTAAAGCTGTCACCTAGTCCATCTTCACACAGCACTGCAACTCAAGCAAGTCAAGAGCGACGGTTCCTGCATGGGAAAAAAAGGAAAATGAAAGCCAAAAAGAGAGAACATAGTCCTGGATTTAAGACTGTTCAGCATGCTTCATCTTCAGGAAACATATCTATTGAAGAAATTGATGCAGATGGAAAATTTGTCAGGCTTAAAAACAACTCTGATGAGGTAGGTCTGTGTACTCATTCAGTTCTACACTTCCTTCACTACCAAGTACAACTGCTTGTGAATTGATTTGTGCCTTGGTGAGAGATGGCAATAGGGAAGAATGATGAGATGGGAGAAAAGTACTGTCAAACTACTTAAAAAGGGAAGGCCTTCTAAGCTGTTCTTTGACTAAGCTGGTTAATGTCAAGAGAAGAGCAACTGGTCCTGCAGGTTTCCTGTTCACAGGGCTGTTTGGGAGATGCTTTTGCAGGAGGTGCATTGGCTTCCATGATAGAGAAGCCTACCATTAGGTATTTCTCATTAGGCTCAGGGTAGCAGTATTGGAAGCACTACTTAACCTTGGTAAGTTAAATAAGGTTTTAGTAAACTGGATGACAGTTTGCTGCTTAAAAATGCTTACAGCAGATAAAAGGTTAGCATCTAATCAATGTGGAGAGGGCTTCTCTAATCAGTTAAATAATTAGTTTAGTCTGCAAATCAAGAATTGTTAGAATTAATCATCAGAGCTTCAAAACTTGTGATTGGAAGCTTAGGAACTTATGTCAGCCTGAGTTACCTTTTAAGCTTTCACAGATCACTATGTATATTATAGCTTATACTTATATACATATGGTCTGACTTAAAGATGGGTGTGACCAACTTGATTTACCAGAATCTCCCTGGTAAGAACATGATCTTTCTTAAACAGAAGGCAAGAATAGATGTGCCTAAACTTGTGGAATTAAGCTTAACCCTAAGAAAATACTGGGAGACTTCACTAGAAATTTGAAGGCAGCCTCAAAATTGATTATAGATTCTTCCACACTACAGAAGAGGGACTTAATGACCTTGAAGATAGAAAGCACCTCGCACTTGTATGATGTTTTGTTGGTCTGTAATGCTGAGAGAAATTTCTTATCCCACAGGATCAGCCACTACATGGATGGGTGTTGAAAAGACATCTTGAAAGTGTGTCAGATGTAACATACAAATTTCCTTCATGGTTCACTCTTCAGGCAGGCCAAGTAGTTACGGTAGGTAGTGGTTTCATAAAGCTTAAAGACCCTTGTTCTCATTAGGTTAGATAGCAATGGAGAATTGTGTAGTAAGAGAAACTAAATTACTACCTGATTTTTCTGATCCTGCTGTAAGTGCCTAAAGAACTAAAATCCTTATTTTATGTGGAGAGAAAGATGAGAAAATCCTTATAAGAACTTGATCTGGATTTCAGTTTCTATTACTGGGCATCTTTGGTATTAGAGTACTTGAAGTTTTATATGTTCTGATATGTTCTGAGTTCTAATTCAACTACAAATAAGAATCTTCAGAATGTCACTTTGAACTTGTTGCAGATTTGGGGTGCAGCTGCTGGTGTAAGCCCAGGTCCTAATGATCTGGTCTGGAGGTCTCAGAAGTCTTGGGGAAGTGGGTATAATATTGGTGTTACTCTCATCACAGATGTAGGTGAGGTAAGTGAGTTTCTAGCTTCTTTTGTCCTAATACAAAACTTGTTTGCTGTGCCTTGACACTTGAGTGTTCTTGGTGGTGATTCAATTGTGTTGTAGGAACAAGCAGAGAGGAAGTTAACACATGTACCTAGAGAAGAAAGTGGTGAGCAAGATGAGTGTGAAGAAGTAACTGAAAGTGAAACAGAGCTTTCATCTCATGTAAGCTGCCTGAAACTTAAATGCATGCTTTCAAAAGAATTATTCAGTGGCCAATCACTTTTCATTACATGAAAATTCTTCCCCAAGTACCATCCATATTCTACAACTGTACCATTTTTCTTGATGTCAGACCAAAAGAAGAAAAAAGAAATGTTGTTTGGTTTCATGATAGTGGTTCCTGTGAGCATCCTTTAGCAGGTGAGATCAGTAAGAATCATGCTTGTCATCTCAGCTTGCTTCATTAGTAGTGCTTCAGTGTCTTGTCCCATGTAGGGTGTAGCTTGCATGGCTTTGCATCACAAACGGAATTGATATTTTGCTTATTAGTTGAATATGATCAAATAGTGTTAGCTGTCTGGCATCTAATTACTGAAATGATGAAAAATACTCTCTTCAATGTCTGTTTGATCTAAATATGTAAGTAAGCTTGCAAGCTGTTATCCCAAGAACAGAATGCAAATACTAACTAGAAATACCTTATTTCTATGGGATGAAGTGACTTAACTGATACTTAAGAGCAAGTCCAGGCACTGTTTTAGGTGTGCAACTTAAATTCACACTGAAGAAAGCTAATACTTCCATTCAAAAGCATGGGAATGCTGAGGTTAAAGTTCTGGGTATGTTGACTGGCTAAGCTCCTCTTAAACCCAAGCATGAGTTTGAGGCATTTGTGTCAGCTTGGTTCCAGAAATCATTCTTATTTTTCTGTGTGAAATAAGTATCTCAACCTTGTTTCTGTCTTAAATACCCTTCAATACTTCCAAGTGGTACTGAAGTACAGATGCAGATCACACTAACAGAATTAACATACATCAATAGAAAGAGCAGGTTTTGGCTTCTATACACCTAGAACCTTTTGGCTGTAACTTGCATGTTGCAGTGCCTTGTGAAAGACTGGCCTCTCTGGCTTTTGACTGATCACATGAGTCTGAAGTTCAGCATCTTGAATGCTTCTAATGCACTTTGATACTATTAGATACTGTTACACCGGTCTTTTAATTGCTGAAGTGTTCTGAAGGGCTTTAAATTGATCACAACTGAAAAAGTACGGGCTATATTTTACTTGAGTTGATTTTCTTGACTTGAAATAGCATCGTCTCCTTTCTTAGCGTAGACTAAGGACCAAAGTAAATAGAATGTCCAGCTAAATATTCATTCTTTGCCTCCTGCTGTCGCAGAACGTTGAGTTACCACAGACCATTGCTAAAAATGATCCCACACAGTTGCAAGGTGGACTGATAATCTACTGCAGCAGGCCTTAAAGCCACCATTTCCTCTGTGCCTTCATAATATGTATACCTGTCTAAAAACAACTTGGAAGTACACTTTCTTCAGAAAGATAGTATTCTGAGATCTCATAACAGGCAGTTGTTTACTACTTAGTTATCTCCTTGTCCTTCTTTAGAACAGAAAATCTGCGTAAATATCTATTATTATAATACCCTCTGGCTTAGTGTTTATAGGTATTAAAGTCTCCTGACTAGGTTCTTGTAATATTTCCAGTCTTGTGCTGTGAAGGAGGGTAAGACCATGTTTACTAAGTTATTGAATAATGGCCTATAATGCTGTTCTGGCTTTTAATATGCAGCATAAACAAAAATGGCTGAAGCTGTACCAGTGGAAACCAGGCTTTAAAGAGTTACTGCTACAAGCTTCATCTTCAAATTAGGGTCTCTTCATTATTTTAAAGACTTCATTTTAATTCACTAGTAACATGCTTGTTCTGCAGTCAATGATGGAAAGAAAAAGCAACGTTTTTCTTTACATCTCTAATCTGCTGTTTTATCAGTGATGTTAAAATCAAGTTGTATACCACTTATGGTAAGAATCCATTCTAGTACTTCTATTCATATATTAATGTCCTTTCCATCTGCTGAATTACTATCAGACTTGTGTCACTATGTATTTATGTATGTCACTATATATCTATGCTTCTGTATTACACGGGTAATATTGAAATAATGGTAGCTTAGTCTAAAAAAAATTAACTTCTTGCAGGCAGCAAAATGATGCAAAGAAAGCTTTGCTTTAAGGAAGGCTTTTCCATATTTTTTGCTTCTGCTCTTACTCTAACTAAAGTAGTGGGAATTTGCATGCTGGTTAAGTTTTGATGCCTCAGAACTAGGGTACTAATAGTTCAATAGCTTTTTGTTAAAGAAGGTCTTGCATGGACTCAAACTCTTAAACTTATTTTCCTTCCGGCTGACCATGTAGTATAGTTAAGATGCTGACACTCTTGAAAACCTGTTTTGCTTGTTAATAAGTAATTAAATCTACAAGGTACTATAGAGATAGGTAAGATGTCTTTAGCCAGTAATAAATTTTAAGTATGCATGTTCATTAGCCTAATGTCTTATTTTATTTCTGCAGCAAAATGAGGATCCTAGCTGTTCTGTCATGTAATATGGATGCAGAAGATCATCTGAAAACTTCTCAATCTCCAGTGACATTGCAGACTTGTGTTTTGATATCTTCTGCAATATCTGAAACTAACTTGGAATTTGAATCTCCCATCTGACCTCTTTGTAAGAAACCATCCATAACATGAAACTTTCTACTGTTTGATAACTGTACCCTGTCTTAGATTTGCTGATATAAAGAACAGTAGAATATAAGCTCTGTATGAAGTTGTCTTTCCACCCTAGCACAAGGATCTGGTCTCTGTGACCTGCTGAAACAGGAGGGTGCAGTTTACAAAACTGTTAGATGCATGTCCTAGAAAGATAATAAATAATTGAGAATGAGTGTGAGGCTGCCTCAGCTTTCTCAGTATTCTGACATGGTGTCAGGCAATTTCTGTTTCAAGTCTGAGTGGGAAACTACATGGGCCAGATCACACTACAGTGTGGGCTTTCAGCAAGTCCAAACTTGGCTAAAGTGAAATGTTCACCTGAAGAGTGGTGAGTGTCTGAAATGTTTCCTGCTCGATCCTGACATGCCTAGATCACTTGTTAGAGAACTTCCTAGAGCTTAAAAAAAAAGGGGGGGAGGAATCAAAAGCAAGTTGTAGAATGTTCCTCTCATTGATTAAATGTACTAGAATACAGAAACAGTACATAGAAATTACCAATGTCAGTATTTGATCTTTCTGGATGCAGTATATCACAGCATAGCTTTTAGTTCTGATTTGCTGGAACCTTAACTTGGACAGATATATCCTGCAAATGTGAAACATTCCAACAGAAGGTACTGTAACTAGCAATATTAGCACTTTCTCTGAATGGTCCCAAAATGTCAGCCTTCTAAGGTGCCTGGGGAAAAAAAAATGCTAAAATAAATTTTAAAAATAAACCAACATTAACTACAGCAAAAGGTGCATCAAAAAGACCTGCTCTTAGTGTCTCTATATGCTAAATGTCTACAGGTCTGATTTGTATGCCTAATAGGGGAGCTGAGGTAATACTATGTATTGGCCAGTATGTAATTTGTGTTTAATAGCTTTGGGGCCCACCTAAAGGCTGACCTACAACCTCTGCTGACTATGTAGTCAGCCTGTATTCAATTACTTCTAGTTTCTTTTTACTAAAACGCTTACCTGCTGGCTGTATGGTGAAGAAAGAGCCTTGATGAGCCATGCAAAGTCTAGCTTTCTTATTGTTAAGAGGATGAGCAGCTGACACTGCTGGTCTCCCCAAATGCTGATTTCTGGCTGCATCTGTTACCTTGTTAAAATAATAAATTGTGGATTTTAGGATCCAGTCTGTATTTGGATAGTTATTAATGTGAGGCTTTCCTTACACTGGCTTAATGATCTTAATTTAAGCTATTTAAATACGTCAGATTTTGAGACATCAAAACTACTGATTTAATGCATTGTAGCAGATTTGAACTTTTGTTGTACTTTAAGGCTCATACAGAAATAAATACTGTTCTCTTTGCTATACTTATGTTAAACTTTTACTATTAAAGAGTTTACTATTAAAGAGTTTTCATGTACAAATACTGAAGTCCAAGACTAATTTACAAGTAAAATAATAAAATTGGGCTTTAATGTTATTGGAGTGGCTCAAAACCCTGAAGCATTACATATGCCTGCATGGCTTGAAGCAACTTTCCATGCTATACCATGCTGTCCTGTTTACCCTTATCACTCACTTTTCTAAGTAATGCTGAATTGTAATGAGTTTAAGAGTATTATTTCGGATGAGATGACTTCTCTTTAAAGAACAAGCAAAAACCAATATGAAGTGACAACAGTAAAATGCTTGAACTACTGTACAGGTCTTGATATAAATAACTGTGGTAGGTCAAGCTGTTACACTGTTTTCTTTCTTCTCCCCTGGCTACTGCTTAATTACCTAAACAAAATGTAGGTGCCTAACCCTGGTTCACAACAGCCTTGCTTCTTGGCTCTGGTACCTAGAATCTTTTCAAGAGATGCACGTGCTTTGGCAATAGCCCTTTCACTGTTCAAACCCAGAAGCACAAGTATAGCACCTGTAGCCTGAGTTGTCTGGCATTTATCTAATAAGTTGTGAACCTCAAATACTTAAATGTTTGACAGTTGCTCCATACACTTTGTATCCACAACACCATAGCTACTTTCATTCAAGAACTAGGTCAGGACAAGTTACTCCCTGTATTGCTGCTCTAATAACTACTTGATATTCACCCCTGAAGTTAGGAAAGGCCTAATAAGTGTCCTTTGTAGAGCAGTCCAGAATCAGAGCTGTTGTGTCTGAATTAATTAGCAGGCTCTAGACAAAGTTACAAAGAATAGCTCTCCACCTTTCTTGGGAGGATTGTGCAAGCCCAGCCTAAAGACAGTAGAAAAAAGAAAAGCAGGGTTTTGACAGCTAGTTGGAGGTCATTTATGCATATAGGAAGAAGTTACTACAGCTGTGGCGCATGTTAAATTGAATCCCCTCTCTAGGCAATGCTGTCACTACTGGCCTATAGAACCAACTAGGGCTTCATATACTGAAGCTGCGTTCAATCCAGTTTGCCCATAAAGATTTTGATTCCCTTCGTATTGCTCTCTCCTCTGTCTTGTTCAGAGAGTAATTGGCAAGAGTTCACATTCCTCTGGGGGTGATGACTTTTTTGGTCATTACTACAGCCATATTTACTGAGCAAAGATGGAAAAGGCTAACACAAAACAACTCTATCTTCATTTTTATAGTACTTAAGCCTGAGTCTGTCTGTCCTTCATTTTGAGGCCTTTTTTTTGTATGTTTTCATTATAGCATTTGTTTTTTTATCTCTTCTTTATTCTTTCAAAATAAATAAACAGAAGCAGAAGTGTTAGTGACTTTTCATTTGTTTGTAACAGGTACTAATGATACTTACCCATTTATTTCAGTAGAGGTCTATGCAAGCTCTGTGGTGCTAGGATCAGCTCATGTTTAGTTCAAAGGAATTTTTCTCTTATTCTCCTGCTATAAGAAAATTTTAATGGACATTATGAATGTTACACAATCAGGGACAAGAGAGAAAGATTATTAAAGCTCCAGTGGCCAAGGTGTCATAAAACTAATAGTTTGGCTTTTCTCATGCATTTTTAATGTAGTATTTTTTTTCACTAAAATTTTATTTACATAACAAGAATGAGCCTCTAGTTCAGAAATGGATGCCAGAACTATAGGAACAGAAGTAGCAAGCACTGTTCTTATCCCACAGAAATATTTATTAAGTTTGGTCAGCAAAGTATAGGAATTTTTGATTCTGAGAACTTGTACTTAGTACAACAACATCGTAATATTGACAACAATCACTTTGCCTTTTGTCAACATACAATGTGAAACGTGGATTAACTTGTTCACAATAAATTACAATGTGATTGATGAAAAGAGCGCAATGACATCAGTAACTTAGGAACTGGTTACAGTTAGCTTCACTTACAGTATTTTTTAAAATGGTTTTCAATAGTAAAATCATCGCAGCTGAAGATTAAAAAAAAAAAAACATACAATAATAGCAAAGAAACGCATTTTTGGAGCAACAGTGAGCTACCAGTAAACACCTCATACAGTGATCTTCAAGGCACAAAGCAAAAAAACTGGGTATGGGTTTTTTTGCAGGTTGATGGAGTCAGGGAAGGTAAATTTTTTTTGAATATAAAATAAATACATTTTAAAAAGACGCATACAAAAGTCAGTAAGTCAGTCAAATAGCAAGGCTTTCACAGAATGCCACACTGACAGCACATTTGTGAATCCATTTCAGTCATGAAATCATGTTCACAGCTTGAATGACACAATCACTGAGGCAAGGGTACCATCACTTCAACATAATTAATGGGGAAGAAGCCAGACTCTCCATTTAACATCCCTTCATACCAATTCTCATCGATCTGATTGGTCAAAGTTATGATGTCCCCTTCCTTAAACCCAAGCTCGCCTTCATTTTCTGGTTCAAAGTCATAGAGAGCTTGGCAGCAAGGCTGATCCATGTGCACTGAAGAACCTGCCCCAGTGACAGAAACAAACAAGCAAGCATTAAAAGAGCTTTATAGCATCCCACTAGCCACTAAGCATGACAATAACAGGTCAAAATAAACTGTCTTTTTTTTTTCCCCCAAACAGTTTTACTATTGCTTTTACCAATTAACATCTGGTCCTTCTACATATAATACTGGTGATTACTACTATTTTAAAACATAATTCTGTTCCTCCCTCAAGTTCAGATGTTACTTGATTTCTGTTCCTAGTTGCATTCCCTTTGCAAAGGATAAGCAAAACTAATAGTTCAAGCAATCACAGCTGTCAAAACTAGTGTGGTCTCTTTGGAGCAATGGCCAGAAGAACTGGAAGGGTAGGATACGTGGATGTGGAAAAGTCAACAGGAGAAGTGACAAATAATCATTTAAACATACTGCACTGCAGCACACTGCCACTGCAGGAATACCTCTCGGAGTGCAGGGGCTCCATCTGTCCTACACACACACACACTAACAGCCTGGAGGCAGCCAGCTGGATTTCCACACACCTGTGCATTTGCAGGAGCTCCTGCATTAGCTCACCTTGCTTAAGCAGTGATGGTCATTTCTGGGTTACTGCTCCCTGAGTCTGTGTGTTCAAATCTTTTGCTATACATGTCCTTCGTCTGAACTAAAGTGACAGTTATGTTAGTAATGGTGGTGGCTATCAAACTATCTTACAGATGAAAACAAACAGCAGCCCTACCGATACAGCACCCAGCTGTTCTTGTGACTTACACTGTTTGCTGATGTCCTCTATAACGATCTTCATACCAAGTTACTCTTAAAATATTAATATTACCATATGCAAACACAGTAGTGAGCGCATATATTTGCAGGAAAACAAATATAATTTAAAGTAGAAAACAATCACCATTACCAAAAGTTACCTTATCAATACAGCTGTCTTTTTAAAGATTCTCACAAAGAGGTCGTTGACTGGCTTGGATCTCTAGCATAGAGACCTATACGTAACATTCCTTTATTCGTACTTATGAATAAGAGCTTATTCTAATAAAATGTAATCCAATGTTCAAATTGTAAAGCTCAGCTCTGTGGGCAAGGACTAGCCAGAGGTTCAACAGATGCTCAACCATAACAGATTTTTAATAATACATGCAGCATATTGAAGTAAAATTCTGCTAAGTTGTAGTATGTTTATAAATGAAGAACAGGGAAAAAGACTTCATGCTGCTACCACATACACAGCAGTAAAATACATTACAGCATGACGAACAACTCTTCAGTCTTCCAGTGCTTCAATTAAAGCAATTAAACCCCTGAAGTTATTCTGCTTGTCTCATTTGCAACATTGCCACAACTCAAGTTTTTTGTCTTAGCTCTCTCTCCAACCTATCACACAGGCTGATCACGTAGTCAGCCCAAACAGTAACTTTTGTTTGGGCAAATATGCACCCAATGTTAATGCAATACAGATAAAATAGCTAAGATGTTAAAAATGCATGTTGTACATTTTAATCTGCAAATCATGGTAATTTGTAGGCAACTACTGAAAAGTAATTGTTCTGGTATTTTCTAGCAACAGGGATCGGAAATCTTTTAGGAAACAAGGTGACAAGACAACTATTCTGGTGATCAGTAGATGAGGATGGGTGAAAGCATCTTTTTAATTGACAAATATATACATGAGTAATATTTGGTGTTACAACTGGGAAGTGGGAATTAATTTTCTGTTTTGTGGACACGTTCCATCCTTTAGAAATAAAAGCTCTTTTCTATTTTATAACAATGGGAAAGAGCTGTCAACACAAAGCGCCCCTTCAGCCAGCCTCCCTGGGATACTGCTGTAACAAAGCTGGACTATTTCTCTGCTCGGGGAAGGCATGGGGTAACAACAAAGTTTAACAAGAACAAACTGAATTACGGCTACTCTAATTCAATGGCCCAGGCAAAAGCTTGGTTCTGGGCATATTTTTGCTGAAACAGTCCATGCACAGAGAATAAGATGAGACACGGTTTTCCAACAAAAATGGACTGACTGCATTCAAAAATAGCTGAGTTATTTTCAGAGTCTTTGCCAAGGTAGAACTGATACCAACTCACTAGAACTGTCAACAGCAGAAGGCAGCGCTCTGAATAATTGACAAAGTTCCTAGCCTTCACCAGCTGCTCTGATGGGGCTAATTTAGTATTGCAAGCCAGTTAATTTCTGACAGTAAGGTACCTGATATGAGATGGATCACATTTGGTTCATTTTAAGCTCCAAAGAACTGAAAAGTGTCTGGCAGCCTGGAAAGATTTTAAAATAATGGTCACAGCCAGTACAACCGCTTTCACTCCAGGCTGTAGGATCAGTCAAAGACTTCATTAGAGTCAGGCAGCTGCTGCTACTGTACAGCCCAATGAGACAAAGCTTCCCTGACAAAGGTGATGGGGGCAGCATTGCCTGACAATCTGCAACACACACTGCTTAACATCACAGAATTGGTGACATGACTCCAGCCTTTTCCTGTCTATTAAATACTTGCACGTCTTCTACTGTTGCAGAGGCTTAAGCTAAAGAAGTACAACCTTTTCTTCCTGCAAGGAGGTTTTATGTTTACTTGCAACGCTACACCCACCTCCTTAATTTCTGCCATTGTGGAGCTAAATTGTCACGCTTCATTGTCACACATTCAAAAATGTCTTGTCATAGTGTCTACATCTCTTAAACCTTGACAGCACAAATGGAAAAAACACCAGAAGGTAGGTTAAGCATCATCTGTCTGTGACTTCTGAAGCATTACAGGATGAAACCAGGACATTCAATGTTTTTCATTGCTGTTGTTGTATTTCCAAAGGGAGTTACTGCCCATTCCTGCACCTACTCTTAATCTTCTATACCATGATGTATACATATGGTTGCAGAATTATACTTTAATAATCACAAACTGGAAGCTTGCTAAGTTAATTAGTCCAA